TACTTTCTTAGTTTTCTATTTAACTTATTTCTAAAGTTTATTCTTTTTCATTTCTAATAATAATAATAATAATAATAATAATAATAATAATAATAATAATAAATAAATAATAGTAATTTTTCATGGAATCTGATCTGATCTAATATGGTTTGATTTGATTGGATCAGATCTGATATGATACGAACTAATTCGATCTGATCTGATTTTAATAAGAAAAAAAAATAAGAAAAAAAAATTGAACGGAACGGGCCTTTGTACTCTACTACCGATAGTATCCGTGTTCAACAAGCTAAGTAGCTTATCTGTGACAGCGAGCCATGACTTCACTTTTTCTTTTTGTTCTGGTTTAATTTGAGACAAATCAACATGATTTTGGGCTAAAAAAACTGGTCTTCCTTTTCTTCAGGCCGAAATTCATACTTAGCCTTTTTTCCGGCTTTGTCTTTTACCATTATATATAGAGGATAATCCTACCTAAAAAACATTTGTCAAAAGAATGTTCACAAGGGACTATACGATGTTTTTCATCATCTAAAGCTAGAGTAAAATTCCCAAACTTTTCTTTTCTTATTTTTCATCATCAAAATGTCCAGGGGAGGGTATTTCGGTATAATTACATTTTTGTGCTTTTAAAAAAATAGTTGTTGTAATTTCAATAAAAATCAAGAATAAATTACATGTGATTTTTTTTTGGAACTTTCCTTTGTGAAAACCTATGGGACTATATTTCTTTGAGTAATTTATCTAAATAGGACTAAAACATAATGACGTTCTCAATATAGAACCATAGGATTTTATTTTCCAATGTAAGACCATTGGTCATTATCTATTAGTCATTATTCAATTAAATGTCCAGCATCACTTGGACATTATTCTTATCCATAATCATTATTAAGTCCTATTTAGGGAATAAAAAAATTTAAGTCCTACATTAGGAAATAATTTATGTTTTAGTCTTATTCAGTGCAAATTTCACTATTTCTTTTTGCTTCTTAAAAATAAGTTCATGTGCAATAAGTTCAAGTGCAATAAATTTTGGGTTTAAAATACATGTAATTATTTTTACGTGATTATTTTTTAAATTTTTATGTGAAAAAATAAGATTGGTGCCGAAAAATAAAAAAATAAAATGGGCCCAGTCAGAAATTACATTTTGGACCCTATTCTATTTTTAAAAAGTACTTATGCTTTAAAATTAATATCGAATTTAAAAATATGGGGGCCTAAAATTTTAGGGACCCTGTGCGGTTGACCACTTTGCACATCCTTCGAGCCACCTCAAGAAATGTAATCAACTACAATTTCACTTTTTCACTTTTTCATCACTTTTTTTAACATAAATTCATTTTACAATTTTAGTATAGCTCAACTATCAAATAAATCTGATTCTTTTCATATTTAGGGTTTTGTTTTGAAATATATCAAATGTGACTATTTTTTGTTCTTTTTTTTTAAAATCTATTTAGCTAAAATATAATTGTACTTAAAAAAAGTACAATTAACTGAGTTGAACATTTTTTGAGGAATTGAATTGAGTTTAGTTTAACTAAATTTTGAGGTGTGATGAAATAAATCAAAATGGATCTATAAACTGTCTGCGCTTCTTTAATTAATGAAGTAGCAGTTAGTCAAGCAATGCAACTTTTGACGTTGAGCCGAGGGTCTCTTTGGAAACAGCCTCTCTACTTTCGAGTAGGGGTAAGGTCTGTGTACACACACCCTCCCCAGACCCTACTCTTGTGTGATTTAACTGGGTTGTTGTTGTTGTTGTTAACTAAATTTTGACTAAACTACTAATCTATCACCCTCTCGTTCTCAAAAACACTTCCTCTTTCATTTTTTCACTTTCATTTTCTATTAAAAAACAACTTTCCCCCTTACTTTTTCATACACTATCTATCACATCATACTTTCTCTAATAATCTATCCATCATATCTAGGGTAAAATTAAAAGTCAATTACAATTTAACACTTTCATATTTTTATACCTAGTCAAACTAATAATCCTTTTTTAGACCAGAGAGAGTAAACTAAAAGTTAGTAAATTACATAGAAAGAAAATGAGTAAATTTTCAAAATGATTCTTTTTTAATAAAATACTTATCCAAATCAGTTATAATTTTTACACAAAATACTCCATAAGTAAAAATTAAGTACGTGGTCTTTTTTTAATTTAGTAGGTTTTCAAAATAATTTTTTCTAATTAAGTTTTCGGTGCATTCAATTCGTATTTTAAAAGACTTTTGTACCTTTTGACCGAGCCTCTATCCGAGACAGTGCCCAGATCGTTACGCCTTATTAGATTATGTAAAATTAATGAATTGTTTTAATTCTAAACTGAGTCGAATAATCTTGGATACATTTTTATTACTCTATATCATGATTGTTTATATTCGTAAACTCAATAGATTATTCCAATATCAATAAATAATTATAAATTGATTAAATTTATTAAAAATTATAGAACACATAAAAAAATAAATATGACTTCAAAGAAAAAACACATGGATAAAAAAGAATCAATTAGTAAAAAACATGTCAAGTTATCATAAATTATTTTCTAAAAATTGGTCAATAAGTATTTAAAACATGTCATGTATTATTTCTCGTGCTACGTCATTTAAAAGTGTAAAAATCATCCTAAATAAGATTAAAACATAGAAAAAAGTACTAAAATAGGAGTTCTATGTTTCTATTCTCGAAATACGACTTTACACTATGGTAATGTGTTGTAATGTGGCACTGTACATTGGGGGATCCAAGTAGAGTTTAATGGGGGCAATTGCCCCCAATGAACTTTTAACTTTTTAAAAGAATATCCTAATTTTAAAAAAATAATTAGCTATGTTGTCCCCATCATGAGAAACTAGATGCCCCCACCAAAAAATGATAAGAAATACTTTCTCCGTCCCAAAAAGATTTACACTTTTCAAAAAAATTGTGTCCCACAATCTCCTACCCATTTTTATTAAAAAACTACTTTTACCCCTTACTTTTTCAAACTCTACCTATCACATCATACTTTTTTCCTAATAATCTACATATCACATCCTACTTTAACCCATCACGTCAAGGGTATTTTTGGAAAGTCAACACAAAATTATCCCTCCCTTAATTTCTACTTTAGTCAAAATGGGTAACACTTTATGGAACGGATGGAGTATCTCTTAATAGGAATCTTAAGTCTTTTAATAACACAATAATAGTATAATGACAGTGTGGTGTAAGAGTATGTGTTGGCAGTAAAATAGAAAAATATTAACAGTGTAATAAAAAAATTAAATGTTAAATTTAAGTTGAAAATTAAATATGTATTGTTAAAATAAAAGAAATTAAATGTAAAATATCTAAAATAACAAAAATATAATATGAAAATAAAAATTATTAAGAGAAATAATTTTCTAGTGAGTAGTTTTAGATTTTTCATTAATTAATATTTTTTAAGATGTTTTTTTGTTTTTGTAATTTCACATTTTTTTGGGAAAAAATTGGAGGTGCTGTCCAAACCCCGTAGAAGTCTCGCCCCCCGTCTCTTCGATTTCTGGATCTGCCACTGGCACCGTACATGTGCACATTACTATACTTTTTGGTAATGTACATTACTATATTTGGTAATATAATGGAAATGCATTTTAACTTCTATTTCAAGATTAAAAATATGAAAGTCCTATTTTATAAATGGATTTTAACTCATGAGTCTTTTCCCCTTAAAAGTACCATGTAAGAGTGACAAATCTCAAGCTCTAGGAAGCATGCGCCTCAAGTATTAATACTCCGTATATAAAAATAAAATATAAACGATAAATGATTATCAGTATTTAATTTGCAGCCAAAGTTAGCACAAAATGTCAAAATAGAGTAAAAAAACATAATAAGACAAAGGCAGCACATAATTCCAACTTTATTGAAATTTGTGAATTTTGGATTGTCGTTAAGTTTCTAATGGCAGGTTAATAGAAATGGCATATTTTCTGCAGTAAAATGAAAATTGAGATTATTTTTGATGAATTTATTATTTTATTTTTTTGAAATTTTCAATTAAATTTTTAAGATGACTTCTTACCTCCATTTCTTTTCCATTTTTTAAAGATTAGTCTTACCTTAGAAGAAAATAAAAGATAGATACAAAAAAATGTGAAAAATAATTAAAAGTATACTCCATCCGTCTCATAAACTCCTTTTCATTTCTTTTTTTCTTTGTCTCACAAAATTCTTCCCATTTCTATTAAAAACCTACCTTTACCCCTACTAATTCTTACCCTACCTATCGTATCATACCTTTTTATTAATAATCTACTTATCACATTCTGCTTTTAGCTATCAAATCAAAAGTATTGTTGGAAAGTCAATACAAAAATATCACTCGCTTAAAAGTCAAAACAAGAAGGACTTTAAGGAACGGAGGAAGTACAAAATTAATGAAATAAATAAGTTAATCAATAGAAATTAAACTGAAACGGATAAGAAATTAAATTTTGTATGAAAATTAAAAAAGTAAAAAACGAAAGTTTATAAAAAATAATCTTAACTTTCATTTTGTTGCGCAAAACAGGACATTTCTGTTCCCTGCAGTTAGTAACTTAACAACGACTCAAAATTTACAAATTTCTGTAAAGTTCAGATTATTATGCATCATAGTGAAAGGTAAGATTATTTTTCGAAAGATCCGATAAAATTAGAGTTATTATGAAAATTTTTTAAAATAATTTTTGAATAGTGTATATTAATTTCAAAAATGTATTCATGTTTGCCACGTGTGTAGCGAAAATTCGTAAATTTGAAGCATCTTCCCCAGCGTAGAAATCTTAATCTTTTGTGTTTCCAGTTTCCACCCATCTGATATTACAAAATTGTAAACCCGGCCCGAAAATTTAAATTTACAATCCCCAAACTCCATCCATCACTTCGCCTGGTACTCCTTCTCGTCTTCTCTCTTGGATGTACGTATATCTAAATGTTGATACATACATATAGAGAGAATAGAGTGGAGCTCAAGCAACTGAAAGGAGAGCTATGGGTCTAGAGCTTTCTTAAAATTGGAAAAAATAAAACCAAAATCTCTCAATAGAAGGGGGAAAAAAGGCAGTAGATACATATTACTGTATTTGTCTTCTTCAGAAATCAAAATGTCGGTTCGAATGTGATTTGGATTCGGATCATCCGGCCCGAATTTGGAGATCTCGTCGTCTTTCTTTCAGAAGGTAAGCTTTGATTTCCGTGATCGTATTTCTGAACTTCAGATGACGCATTGTATTTTTGCGGAAATGATGCACTTGATTATTCTCTTGGAGTGTAGGAGCCTGAACTTTGGCTTGAGCTCTTCCATTCAGCAATCTAGCTTTTCTTATTTTGATTTTGCTGGTTTGTTTGGGTTAATTTGTGCTTCCTTGTTTGTTTGAGTGGAGATGGACGTTTATTGCAGCATATGAAGGAAGATTATATGATGCCTGCATTTGAATTTAGTTGGGAATGAGTTACTCAATTCATGCACTTCATGTAGAAACTGCATAATTGGTATTTAGATCTGTCATTTTATCATTGCTGTGTCTGTGTTGGCCTAGGATTTCACCTGTTATGGGTATAGTGTTGTTGACAATATTCTTGTTTTCAGTTTAAATTTCACACATATTAGTTTTGGATGCTGTGTCTTTGTGCCAATGGTGCTAAGGAGTCATTTTTTACAATGTTTTAGCTTCCGGTAGATATTGGACTAAATCAAATTGGCAATTTAAAGTTCACTCGTCTTTTTTATACTTCTAATGAAGTTTTGAGCAGACGAGCAGCAAATGCATCAAGGGTATAATTAACGGAAACCTCTGTTTATTTATACAGATAAGGTTGTGTGCATCGCTGCATGACCTGCATCTTGACCCTTAACCCTGGCACACACGTGATTATACTGGGCTTTTGTATTAGTTTTGGATGTTATATTCATCATTAATGAACCTGATCACAGTTGGATATTACATATTACTTTCGCAAATGAGTGATGGAATGAAATTTCTTCGGTGAATGAAAAAGGTGAAATAGGGAAATCCTGAGCTTTCCTTCATTAGGGGGAAGAGAATGGAAATGGACACATTTATTGATTATGCATCATTTCTGCTGTCACCCAAGCGTACACGGTAAGATCCCTACAACCAAAGCAAAGAAACTACATTTATTTCTTTGGTACTTAAGATGAATTGATTAGCAAATAGTTTGTAACTTTGTATATACGGAGTACTTTACATCTTTTTATTTGTTGTTTTATTTGGGCAGATGTGAATTGTTTGTTACTACTGATGGAAAGACGGAGAAACTAGCGTCAGGATTGGTGAAACCATTTGTGATTCACTTGAAAGCTGTAGAGGAACAAGTTGCATCAACAGTTAATTCTATTAAGCTTGAGGTTCTGGGGGATGGAAATGCTAAATCATGGTTTACGAAGGGGACACTTGAAAGGTAATGCACAAAAGTCCTAAAATTGCCTTTTCTGGATTTCAAGGAAAGAGTTGGAGATAAAGACATCTAAGAAGTCGTTCTTCTCTAGGTTTGTCAGGTTTGTTAGTACACCAGAGGTTATGGAGCTTGTCAATACCCATGATGCGGAACTGTCACAACTTGAATCAGCTAGGAGAATATATTCACAGGTAGAAGCTTTTTACATCTATGAATATACATTTAGAATTGGGTTGTCTGAAACAAGACGTAATGTAGAGTTTCTTTTCCTCTTTGAACAGGGTATAGGATCACAGCTTTCTGGTTCTGGTATGCTGATTTTAAACGTCAATAAACAAAATTAATTGCATGTCTCCTAGTCCTTTACTCACCTGTCACATGGAGTACTAATCATGTCTGAAATTTTAATGTATAATGAATCTTCAAATATGAGACATGGAAATAAATTTTTAATGTGAGCTGTTGTGAGCTTAGTTTCTTTTTAAGTTCTTGTTCACCTTCTCTTCCTTCCCTAACATATATTTAAATAAATAGTGTATGAAATGTTGTTGTATGGCCTTTCAATTTAGATGCACCATAAAAATGCAACAATATCTGAAGGTGTTTTGGATATTGTTCTAGTACACCGATCAGAAACACATATTAATGTTGCTGGTTTTGTTTTTTTGTTTTTGTTTTTAGATATTCATGATTAAGATGGAGTCAGAGAAGGGGAAATACCTTCTACAGTCCAAAAAATAAAGATAATTCTCAAAGAACTATAGGTGGACAATAGTTGCACCATTTTGGAAAATTAGTTCATCATTGCACCATTTCCCAGATAGAAATCTTGCATTCTGTGTCTCACTGGTGTTCAAAGTAAAGTAAATTTAAGTTGCGTACATATAATGATAAAGTTTTGCCCTAACTCTGCAAATTTGGTTCAGTGCAATTTTATTGTAACTAAAGCTTCAATTTTTTTCCAGATGATGGTTTGTCCTCAGACACAGTAGCAACTGATGCAACAAAGTAACTTCTCAATCTCTGCTTCTTCATGCATTGCCTAGTTGCTCCATATGTTATAATTATCATACTGGTTATGCATATATCCAGAAGTGAAAGTATTTTTATTACGGGTTACTTAGTGCATTTTATAAATGCATATGCTTTTAAATATGTGCTATCTCATGGTCTGATATTCGTAGCACTTTTTTATTGCTGGGTGAATGTTTGCAACAAGATGAATATATAGTTTAAGACTTCTAGCAGGATAATACTAAGTGCAGATAACATCAACAAATCACTTAACCATGTATTTAAGTCAGCATAACGATAATGGGACTATCTGCGGAAAGTGCATTGTGCAGATCTATAAGAACCTAAACTAGGACTCATTAGGATCAACTAGAGGTTCCTAGTATGACTGAGTTCATCAACTTATGACATTTACTATAATCTTTTCATACAGGAAGGAGCTATTGCGAGCCATTGATGTGAGGCTTGCTACAGTTCAACAGGACTTAATGATAGCTTGTTCTCGTGCAACAGCTGCCGGTTTCAATCTAGACACAGTTGCAAAACTTCAAATGTTTTCCGATCAATTTGGTGCACACCGATTAAAGTGAGAACCTGTAGCTCCTTCCCTCTTTCCGATACCAGCCAGTTTCCACACTGATTTGGTGCGTAGTTCCTGAGGAAGTTTATTCTGATGAGATTGTGCCAGCATTTCAAACTTATGAAATTCCTAAAAAGGCATAATGGGTAGTTCCAAGTTCTAGATTAGGTACAATAGGTGGTTCCAAAATCTAGAAAAGGTACAGTATGTGAGTCTTGGAGGAGCTCAGATAAAATCTAAAACAAACCCATTATGAGATTCACCAGTGCTAAACCTGTTGCTTACATTAGTATTCTATACACTAACAAATTATAAGGAAGAAAATCCTGTGAAGAATAAACCATAGAACGTGAATGCGGGGGGGGGGGGGGGGGGGGGGGG